TTGATCGTGCACTTCGCTGCCAAACTTTAGATATTCCTTGTTCTGGTCTTTCTTTATCAGTGATTGTCTCAATATTATTCAGGTTGTAAAATACAAGGATCCCGTGATGCTTGTGCTGCAATTGTGGCTGAATCTTATCGACTTTGGCTTCAGTATGAAACCGTACTGATGATATTACTGTGATTGTTGTGCATATTAATGGGCTAGCTGGTGTAAGTGAGCATTCTTTTTTTGTCAAATGTATTTCTTGTCTTTGTGTTGTTGTTTGTTTATAATTGGGCTTTTCCCTTCAGGCTAATGGCGAAACAGCTAAGCCTGCTACAATTTTACGGCCTCCTGTTCGTCAAGTGTTAGAGGCAACAGGATCAATCTTCTTCAACTTTTAGCTGGAGTTCAAGCAACCACCGTGCAAGGCATGACTTATCACGGGCTCGTCTTCGTGCTATTGAGAGTTCATTGGAGAATGGGCAAGTCTGGGTTCCGCCACCTCCTGCTCACAGGAAAACTTGGGAAGAAGAGGTAAGCTGTCTGTTATATTCTATTTGTTTTGTATACACTAAAGTGTTTCTTCACCTAAGCTGTTCTGTATTTATGTTACAGGCACATATAGAGCAGGCATTGCACGACCATTTCCTATTCAGAAAATTAACTGATTCCAGTGTCATGTTTTATTGGATTGCATGCAAAGAGTTGAGGTCCAACCTGGGGATATTGTTGTTCAACAGGTTAGTTATTCTACTTGCACTTAATTTCATTTATTGCTAGTATTTCATGTAATTCTGATGTTTTTTGTCTAGCTGCACAAGCAACACGTCTTTAAATGATTTTATTGCTTCAATACTTTCCTGTAAGTTATGAATCCCAAACAAAGATGTCATTGTAGTTGTAATGAATAGGATAATGATCTTGAAGAACTTGCTCGAAACCCCCCCTCCCCTCCCCCTTATACCTTTTATAATCATTAGTTGCGTAAGGTCCAGAACTTCTCTTCCTGCGAATAAGCATTTGTGGCTGGCCAATTTTGGTTCAAGTTCTCTTTCAGAAAGCTAAACCCTAATTCAATTGCCATGGCTTCACATGCTAGGCATGAAGGAACTGATATCTTAGATACGGTTCTAGAGGTAGTTTTGATAGTGTTACAATAGAAGTTGACTCTGATTTTGTTATACTTTGCAGGGTGGTGAAGGTGACTGCTTTTATGTTGTGGAAGTGGAATTTGAGGTCTTAGCAACCCAGGTTTGTCTTAATCATTATATATATATATTGGTTACAAGTTATTTATGTTTAAACCTATCAAAGCTCTTGAGGCCCAAGCTTGTCTTATGAATTTGAACTTACTTTTCAGTTCAAATGTGTTGATTACTTACTGCAGTTTGGCTCTGTCTAGCCATGCTCTAAATTTAATTATCACTATTTTCTGTTATTATTAATGATTTCTTAGTTCATAGATAATTATTTATTTTCAGTAAGTTTTTCACTAGAAACTATACTGGCAGGAAGATAAAAATGGAGATGTGCCAAGGGTTTTGCAGAAGTATACAGCTGAGAAGTTATCATCTTTCGGTGAGCTGGCACTAATGTATGTTTTTTTCTTTTTCATGTCTCATCTCTAGTTAATAAAGAACTCTTTAATTCTATTTTCTCAACTTTACAAATTGTTTTGCTTAGTGAAAACTGCATTGTGTGTTTAAAAAGCATGTAGAGAATAGATGTAGATTAGTAAACAAAAAGAATAACATGTTACCACTATTTTTTGTTGAGTAGCAAAAAAGAACTAATTTGCTGAAGCACCTATCATTTATCATTTTTAGTTGATATTTATATATTTTAGATGTTTGTGAAACCTGTTTGTTTCTTGAGGGCTGGAAAATTTTACCGCTCTTTCTGGTAAAAAAATGGTATAACCTGCTGACCACGATAATTTTTTCTGTTGCTTTATCATTTTAGTTGATATTTATATTTTAGATGTTTGTGAAACCTGTTTGTTTCTTGAGGGCTGGAAATTTTACCGCTCTTTCTGGTAAAAAAATGGTATAACCTGCTGACCACGATATTTTTTTCTGTTGCTATACGGTACAATAAGCCCCTCCAAGCCTCTGTGCGTGCTGTGACAAGTGGGACTCTTTGGGCTCTAAAAAGAGAAGACTTTCGCGGAATTGATGTCCAAGTTTTCAAATTTGTCATCCTTGAAGTTGCTTCGCTCCGGGATCTTCTATCTAGATTGACAATTTACAGCTGAGTCATGTTGCAGATTCTCTTTCTGAAGTTTCCTTTCCAGCGGGAGGCCATAGTTAATAGGGTAGATGTTTCTCCTTCCAGTATTTTTTTTTTCCTTCTGTTTTATTTTCGTAGTGTATTTTTTTTCCTTGTTCACATTCTTGTTTCTTATATTTCTTGTGCATGTCTGCAGAATGAAGCCCTCTCTGCATTGTACATTATCCAGAAGGGCAAGTGAGGATTACTTTTGATAAGGATTTGTTAAGCTGTCCGAGTATCTGCAGTCTCAAGTCTGATAACCTGAAAGAGGGCAATGATCAACAGACTGGCAAAGAACTGTCTATTGAAAGACTGAAGGAAGCTATTTTGGGGAATGGACACTTCTTGGGCAACATAATGGTTCCTTAAGTGCCATTGCAGTGGGTGATGTCACGTGTGCTCTTTTGACAAAGGAGAAATTTGATTCAGTTGTTGGTCCTTTGACAAAGCTTTCCCAGGATGATCATAGTATGTCTTAGTCTCATGCACTAAATGTTGCATCTTGTTTCCTCTCATTCTCTTGTTAGGTTGTGTTTCATTTCATATTTCCCATCCATCAACCTTCTATTTCCTGTATGTAGGCCTTTTGTCCTCTAACTAAAAAACAGTTAACTTTTTGTTTCTTATCTGAAGGTTTTAATGCCTTTCATTTAGAATGACATTGTTGTTATTGCCATTTAGGTCTCCAGACTATTCTCCAGATGTGCCCAAGGCTTCTGTCAAAGAAATTGATATTTTCGACTCTTGCTAAAGTTAGCATCTCTCAATTGGTAAGAAGTTCTTAGTTCTGCCTCTTCCGTGTGTGGTTAGCAAAATGTTATCATGAAGAGAGAAATCTCTTAAACTTATCTAATTTCATACGCAGGATTGGAGAACATGTTTATATTCCACTGACTGTAGTGAAATTGGGCTTGTACTTCTAAGAGACACAGGTTGGTTGTGTTCTTCTGTATATGTGTTTATTTTTGCTCAGGAATGGTAAGTTAAAGAACACATTTTCCCTATGTACCATGTGATAAGTGGAATGATTGTGCATGATTGTGCTGTGCACTTGTGCTGATCAAATGCATGCGATTCTATTGATACATATCTTTCCTGCCCTTGGCTTCAATTCTTCACACCGCTCTAGATGAACAATCGGCAAGGTTCTGTGCTGCCTCTGTTGTTACTGCCTTAGAAGATCTACATGAGGTCAGATTTCTATAAGCAATCCTTTTTTTCTTTACTTCGTTTCCTCATTCTTTGCGCATCTGTTTATTTCTTACAGTTTTTCTACATCCACATTTCATTTTGAATTTCAGAATGGCGTCCTTTATAGAGGTGTGTCTCCTGATGTTTTAATGTTGGACAAAACGGGCTATTTACAGGTTGGTGCCAGTCTATGTGTATTATACATCATGTTACATGCACATTTGAACTGATATGTTATACTTGACCAAAAGGTTGCCCTTTCTTACTCATAATGGTTCCAAATCACAATTAGCTAAGCTTAATTATTTTGTTTTGCCATGCTGTGTATAGCTAGTTGACTTCGATTTGGGAAGAAGTTATCTAGTGAGAGAACATTTACAATTTGTGGAATGGCCGACTCTTTAGCACCAGAGGTAGTTCAGGGAAAGGGCCATGGTCTTCCGCCGACTGGTAAAAATACGTTCTGTTTTACATTTCTGGTATCATAAACCTCTTCATGTTTATTTAGAATCTAAAGGAGCATAATTAAATAACTCAAAATTACAACTTTGCTAACTTGTTAAAGAACCAGAGGAGTGAACGTGTTCACAATAGAGATTTGTAACCAACATTATAGAGAGAAATTTAATTCAACCTGGAGTGTTTGTTTAGTTCTTCAATTGTTTATATGGTTTAAAGATGGGGCTTTAATTTACTATTTCTTGCTAACGATGTTAAATTTATGCACAGTTTGATCAGGTGTTCTTCCTGTCTCCCCTCTTCTATGATACTAGTCTTTTGAAATGTTTAATGCAGGTGGGCCCTCGGAGTCCTGATCTATTTCTTGCTGCAAGGTGAAATGCCGTTTGGATCATGGAGACAAAGCGAGCTTGATACATTTGCAAAGATGCTAAAGGACAGTTTATTCTTTCGGATAATTAAGCCCCGAAGCTGTTGCATAATCACTAAGGTCTTTTTATTACCGTTTCTTCTGCATAAATACATCAATGCATAGAATCCCTCACATGTTTGTATTACAACAAACTTTCAGTTACTTGAAGTTGATGAAAGTACAAGGCTGGGAAGTCATGGTTCCTCTTCATCAGAAGCCATCCGTGGTTTGATAGTGTTGACTGGAAAGGGATCAGAAATCGGACTTTTCCTGTTCCCCGAGTTAGCTTCTCGTGTAGCTCAACAGTTGGAAATTCGTTCTGAGGATTGCCCTGTTGGTGTTGCGTCTCCACCTCAAGATATAGCAGAGCTCAACGTTCCTGAGTGGCTTGATGAGTGGTAAAAACGAATTATCTATGGCTTGCCATAATTCTACTTTTTGTCACAGTTTGGTATGGAGTTCTATTCCATGCGGTGAGATTGACAATCAGATTGTCGGAAACTGGACAGCAAGTGTAAAGTTGCAGGCCTTAGATTGCTCATAACTCCAAGATTCTTTTCTCGATGCCATGAATCCAGTGTAGCAGTGGAACAATATCTAGTTACGTTTTTGTTCTCTGTTTCCAAAATTAGCCATCTAACTAATTCCGTGGATAGCTCAGCTACTAGGCTCAAATTCTTTAACGTATTTCCCGTTTTTGTAAATAGGTAAACATGTTAATGAGGTTTTTTGTAATCCAAGCCGTCTACATTACTTTGCCGGTGGCAGTAGATAATTAATTGGCATTTACCATTTTGATCATCATATCTGTAGATGTATGGAATGTGATATGTTGTTTGAGAACTCCAGTCTATGATTGACCTCTGTAATTTAGTTGCAAAGGTATTCCACCATTGACATTTTCATGTATTTGGAGGAAACATATATATATATATATAGCACAGGCATCTAGCAGGGAGATTGAAGAGCCTGTGCATAGCTAAGAACACGCTTTCGTACGGGAACAAGGATGTTGAAGACGGATTCATTGTCTGGCTGGTGTATAAATCTACTTCCGGAAATTCAAGCAGCGGTTCTAGTGAGGAGTTAAAAGAGTACATTTACCTACACCATTCGACGAGCTCCTCTGATGCAAAAGTGAAGGTAGGTGGTTTTCTTTCGTAGAGACTAGGAAAAATAATCTTTGGACCGGGATATATGTTGCCATCCGTTAGTTTTATAGTCGAATCTAATCTTCCTTTTTGATTGATTGTATCGGTTTGTTGAGATTTGATACCTGAAGCACTGATATAGGAACTTGTTACGGCTTGGGCATGCCGATTTAAACCACTGCCTTTGAAATATTTCAGATGAACAGAGAGCCCCCTTTCAGTTTCTTCTATGATGTTGCAGCTTGCAGGTTATTAGCTGGTCTTCAGCTAGCTTAAGATCCTTATCAAGCAGCTGCTGTAGACTGGACTACATTTTTCAGGTACTTTGCTGATATTTTGATTAAGAAACAATGACATTCGACTTAACGATCCTTTTAATTCAGTTCGTTTTATTCACAATATTAAATTTAGATTCTAATTTATTTAAAAGATTTAACGTCTCGTATCATTAGATTAACTATAAATGAAAGTTGATGAAATTTTGATTTTAATTCAATTATATATTTAACAAAATAAATAAATACAATTAATTATGTATGCAATAAATAAACGTAAAATGGTATTTTTTTTACATCGGATTAAGCAAATACCGGGCAACACAATATTTCCAAAAGATGGGTTGAATTTAAGAAATCGCCAGCAATTCAGATAAATGATTACTATGGGAATATTATAACAAATTAGTATGTAACATCTGATTTAAACTTGTAGCAATTGCAATTATATTCTTGTTATACAAGTTAAAATAAATAATATTATATATATATGTAGCCATTGTATCGCAAGTTGATATAGCATGTATATTTAAGATATATTTAGACGCAAGTCAAATCTTTCGTTAATTATCTCTTATGTCATTGATTTTGTCCCTTTTATTCAATTATGTACTCCAATCTTTTCCAAAATTACCTGGAATCTTAATCCTTTAGATTTATTCACCTTTTTAATCCCAAATCTTATAGAAAAAAAAAAGAATTATTCAAAGAGTGAACTAGAGACAAATATTTTTTTAAAATAATGCTTTTGATGTTGTACTGTAATGAGATGTGATGTTCCATTTATAAATTTAAAAAAAATAGTTTTATTATATTTGGGTGTTACTAACAAAACGGTATCGTTCCATTAGCTAGGGGTGTTCAGACCCAATCTGATCTAAAAAAAATAATCGAAAATCGATCCAAAAAATCGATAACAGAAAAAAAAACCGATCGGTTCGGTTTGAAAATCCGTAACCAATCCAAACCGAACCGATGAAATGGAATATTGAATTTACAAGCTTGAAACAAACCCATTAAAAGTCCCACAAAATCTAGATACATATTCAGTTTTCCTCGACACGCACGTAACAGTTTGCTCCAGATTCTAGTCATCGATGCCAATGAAAAAAAATGGTGCAATAAATGATAATAACAAAGAAGGATAATATAGTTTTTTGGTATTTCCTCAGTTATGAGGTAGAGAGAAAATTATCGGACAAAACTTAGAAAATGTGCCGTTTTACTTTTATGGGTGACTTACTGACGAGAAACTGATTCGTTTCTTGATTTGTTAAAATATATATTCTCTTTGTAAGCTTCACAAGCTTGCATTTGTTAAAATATATATTCTCTTTGTTTTTGTTATATATATATATATATATGATGTTTTTTTATGAAAAAAAAATTCAAGAATAATTTTGAAAAATTAGAATCCAAAAATCGAACAAATTTAAACCGAATCAAGCCGCAATTAATTGGATCGGATCAGATTTTTTTTTAGAAACATCCAAACCGATCCAAACCGTAAACATTTATACTTTCGGATCGGATGAATTTTTAGCCAAAAACCGATCCAAGCCGACTTCTAACACCCTACCATTGGCTGATCATAAGTGATATTTTAAATCAAGATTCCTTAGTTCAGCCAATGAAACTTTAAATAAACTAACATGCTTAATTCAGAAAACCAGGTTGGCAAGCAGGCTCCTTTTGCTCAAGTTCAATTATATATACTGCACAAAACTGTTTTTCAATTAATCAAAATAAAAGCCAATAAACAACCACTAATCATAATAGAAAGACTCAATTAGTAAGGTTGCATTTTGGTTATTACACAAGAACCAACTAATAATATGATATGTGCTGGTAGACTACTAGAATTCTTATTTTTAGAAGTAAAGAATTCGACCCGAGATTATTACACAGAGAAACCAAAATAAGAAAAAAATAAAAATTGTGTAGCTCTTTCCTACTGAAATTATGCACAAATCAAACTATCTACACGAATTAGCACATTCAAACATCTAAATGCTGTGTTGGATCAATGAGACCTTTCTCGATTGGCAAACCATTGGAGTGTTCTCCTGGCAATTGGCAACCAAACCCGCCTTTTTCTTTCCTCTTTTGTGCAAGTTTCAGACATTGAACACTCGCCTGTTCTGTTCCTTGTACCGGCATCTCGAAACCTCGATAAAGCAACTATATCCGACATCGATCTTTTCTCGGTTTGATTAACAATCCTAGATGCTTGACTCGATGTGGCTGCCGAATCAGATGTCGAAGGCAGACCAGGAGCTGAATCCGGGTTGTTTAGCAATACCTTTATCTCCAATTCCTTTTTGATCTTCATGATTCGGTCGTTTTCGATTGTCCTTGTTTCCGTAAACTGCTCCTTGTTCATGTCCAGGGAAGAAAACCGGTTGCTTGATGACTCGTTAAGCATCTCCGAGTTCAAGAACATCAGGTCAGACGAACTCACACTGCTCCATCGGTTCTTCAAGACAACATCCAACATAACGATATTATGATTGAACTTATGGAACCCTTCTTCATCATCCTCTTGGATTAGTACTTCGCTTTCGATATCGTCTTTTTCGATTTTCCGAAAACTGTTTCCAATGCTGAACCTCGATGAGCCGTGATTCTCCTGCTCTCTGTGGATATAGAGCTCGATGTTCGTGTCCTCTCGTAGCTCGGATTGGTTCCTCGAGAACCGCATGCTATTCGAGTACGTGAAGATCGTCGGATCATCGGCGTTGATCTTTTGCCTGCAAAGAGGACAACTCGAGTGCTTTTCTAGCCACTGATCAATGCAATCGATGTGAAAGCCATGCTTGCACTGAGGCAACAATCTCAGGATCTCGGTATCTTCGAATTTTGATAAACAGACCGCACATTCAAGACCTTCTTTCGATCCTCTAAGCGAAGAGAATCTAAAGAAAGGAAGCGATTCCACGACTTTCTTGTCGATCCCCGAGAACCGAGACTGCGTTCGACGAAGTGTTTGAAGACGGTTATTGGCATGAACAATCGCTGCACTGTGACAGAACTTGGCATAGACAAGGAGGAAAAAGGTCAACGCAAACATGACACAGAGTATACCTATGACAACCGCCAAACTCGGTCGGAAATTCGACACAGCATCCCCTGAGATGGCATCAGTCCCATTCGAGGCCGATTGTGCGTCGACGAAGACGAAAAACAGGCCAAAAAGAAGTAAACCGGTCGCCGTTAATCGAATCATGGAAAACCCAGAATTCTATTCCTCTCCTGCAGGCATTTTCAGCTGGAAAATGTATATACATACACATATATTACTGGAGCAAATATTTTAGAAGACCAAGTGGGTAGTTTGATATTGGCGTGTTAAGCATGGTCCTTAACCCGGCGGTTATCTTTAATATTTGGCGGTTTCCTGGCTTCTTTTATTTTATATTGAAATGAAGCTTTTAAAAGATGGAGAATTTTCAGAAGTGATGACATAGTGGGGAGACTTATGTGTTTGAATACAAAATTTGGAATCTGTCGTGGTGTGCTTGTTGTCTTGCAGATACGTGTGGCTTTTGCTGTCATAAAACCAAATCATGCTATAAATAACCATCCTCATTGACATCAAAACTTTGTAAATTGCATCAAAATTCTTTGATAAATATATTATGGATCTTTCTTATTATATATTAGATATTTTCTTTGAATTCTAACACGTTTTCAATCTTTTTTATCGGTCGTATGATATTTTTTTATTTAATTTATTTTAAGGTTAGATTTGACATCGTCTCAATTGATCAAGTTGACGCTTATTTATTATCCTTTTGATCTGCTCTGCTTTGGACCCTCAGATGAATTTGGATATACAGTTTATGTTCCAAGATAGTTTTCTCACGACACTCGATTATGATTCGCTATTGTCGGTGGTCTTTCGGTAGTTTAATCCCCTATTGTGGTTCATTTGTCGATGCAATCAGATCTATTTGCATCTTTTTTGTTCGAGGTTTTTTTGATGTATTTTAACATTTTTCTTATATGCTCCCTATAAGATATTAACCGGCTATTTTTTTTTAAAAAAAAGAGGTGGTTTCATATACTTAAAAGAGAAAAGCATACAAAACCAAGCAAACTAAAAGGTCTCGTTAAAAAATCTCCCCAAATCCTGGGTGGAGGAAAAAAAACTGGCCAGTTTCGTGTCAATGATTATAGGAAATGTCTTACTTATGGGTTTATTTTACAATTTATGGTTGAAAACTGTCATTTTAATTTTGAAATTTTCTTTTTTAAGGGACTTCTATTTGTATAAAAAGATATATTAGATACCTTTATGGTGTGTATATATATATAACATAAATATTTTATAGGAGACTAATACAAATAAAATTTTAAAATAGACGTTATTAATAAATTAAATAATTAAAATAAAAAAATTTAAATTTCATAGTAGATATTTGTCCATCCTAAATCATATTTACATCTGTCAGTGTGTTTAATTTTAATTAAATTAAACGTCTGATCACCTAAACAAATTTAAATGAAAATTAGTTAATTTAAAAAAAATAACTAACAATTAATTAATTAAATTTACCAAGATTGTGATATATAACTAATATGTTTCTAATTTTAAACTTAAATCCTACTATTTTAATATGACTACTGGAATCTATCAGAATTAACACAAGTCAAGTGGACATTGGCGAAAGAAAAATATTTAGCAGACAGCTCGACATCAGACCGTAGCCATTAATCAACTCAACTGTCGGTGAAACTATACTTTATTCAAATCACCTTCAAAAGGATGTAATTTGGTCTAAATTTCAAACATTTTTATTATATTAAACCATGCAATTTTGACTGTTAACTTGATTTTGATGAACCTTTGTTACATTTTTATGTTCCCTTCTTTTATATAAATTTGTATATTGGACAATTTATATTAATTATGATTATTTTAAATTAAATTGAAATTTTAAATGATTTGTAATTTTTCAATAATTTTGGGTTTATAAGTCTCAATTTCAATTTCAAAAATCAAAATTATATTTAAAAATTATCGAATTATTATCATTAAACAAATATGATTATTTTCATGGCATTTCAATCTAAGAGGAGATCATCTCAAAGGGATAAGCTCACCATATAAAAAATATTTAGGTTTATAAGAAAGATAATTCTCTAAATCATATTATTTTTAAGTTAGGTATGAACAGTTTTTCTTGACCGAATTAAATATTTAAACAATGATTTTATCTTAATCAAAAGAATTACATTCAATTAATGAGAAATGGTTAATTAACATCAAGCTCATTGCTAATGCTCAAGTCACACTGCAGTTCAATCAAAGCCACATCTTCTTTATTTCTTTGATTCTTAAATTGAGGAGTTTCGTTTAGTAATCTAAACAATCAACAAATGCAAATAATAATAATAATAACGAACAAAACATTTTCACAATTATTGAATGATAAAATTTTAAATCTGAAGTGGCAGATGATAAAAGAAATTAGAGAACTTGAGAAATTAAAAAAAAATGAAAAAATAAAAAGATGTAAGAGTTCTATTTCAACGTAAGAATCTTAGTTATGTGGGAGGAGTGGTATTGACGAAGGTGTAGTATCTTAGTTTGATTGGCTGAAAGAGATATTTTTTTAATGGTGATAACAGTTAGACCTAAAATAATTATAAAATTATAGTTTAAGTATGTAATTTGTCTGAAAAATGTTTGAGGGTTTATTTTGCAAATAACCCTAAAATTTGTTTTCCAGCCAAAAAGAAAAGGTCAATGCTTGAAAGGGGCAAAACTCACGACATAATGGATTCAAAAAAAATATTTTACGAGATGATGCACTGGGCAGATTAATTGCTCGAATGGGGTGAATTCTACAGTGGCAACATAGGTCGCCATGCACGCCCGGCGTCCTTATAGGTCGCCATGCACGCCCGGCGTCCTTATAGGTCGCCATGCACGCCCGGCGTCCTATAAGGACGCCATGCACGCCCGGCGTCCATCATTATTTGCTGCTCCGCTGTTGCTCGTCCATCATTATTTGCTGCTTTGGTGGCCGCTGTTGCTCGCTGATGCTACTTTGGTGCTATGCATGGGCCATGCACGAGGCATGGGATAGGTCGCATGCGCTTTGTTCACGTGGTCTGATCTCGGCAAACCTCTGCATGGGCCATGCACCAAGGATGACCAAGGATCGATTCATGCATGGGGCACTCGGGGCGACCAATGATCGGTTCTAGGTTGCCGGCGACATCGCGACATGGTAGGTCGCCATGGAGTCCCGACGACATGGTAGGTGGTAGGGTAGGTGGTAGGTCGCCATGGAGTCTCCATAGCTGGGAGATTCCTGCATCGCGACCCAGCTTTAACTGTAGCACTCATGCATGCAACGACCAAGCTTTAACTGTATCACTCATGCATGCGTTGCATCCATAGCTAGCTGGGAGATTCCTGCATCCGTAGCTGCATGCGTTGCATCCATAGCTGTATGATTGCAGCGTTAATTTAGCTGTTAAATACAACAAATATTGCTGTTCAATTGAAGACTTTCAATGCTCAATAGTTATACGATTCAATCCTAATAATATTTTATTCAATAGTCAAATTTTAAAGACTTTGTACAACGATTTTTTGCTTTATATAAATGATATGGGGTTTAGGATAGAAGGAGAACCAGGAGTATAAGCATAAGCACGTATAAACTTTGCCGAGAGAAGGAAAAGGAAGAAGAAGAAAATAAGATAAAGGATCAAACATAGTTTGTGAGGTAATTTTTTATTGTTTAATTTAGTTTATTATATGAAATTATTAGTTTGTTAGTTTAGGGTTTAGGGTAAAACTAAAATCTAGTTAATTAGTTTGTTAGTATAAATTATTAGTTGGTTAGTTTAAGTTATATATTATATATAAAAAAATTAGTTAATTAGTTAATTAGTTTAAGTTATTAAGTATAAAAAAATATTAATTAATTTGTTAGTGTCTTTAAACATATATTAGATTGTTCATTGAAGTTGAAGTTATATTATAAAAAAATTAATTAGTGCTTAATTAGTGTGTTATTTTAACTAAGTTATATTATAATAAAGAAATAGTTTATTAGTTTAAGTTATATTATAATATATTAGATTATATAAAATTAATTTGTGGGAGCTATTGCTGTTTAAATAAATTAAACGGTTTACACATACAGGGCATTATTCCACAACATTTGCCCATGTTGAAATTGATTCGAATAAAGAAACAAAGAAGGAAAAGAAAGGAAAGGAGGAAGGCATAAATACGTGAGTAATTTATTATTTTTTGTTGTCTATTTTTGTTGTTGTGTATGTGTAAATTAGTTAGATAGTAAGTTTATATTAGATTATATAAACTAATTTGTGCGAGATAATTTTTGTTTAAAAAAAATATTGTGTTTAAAAATATTTAGTGTTGTTTAAAAAAATATTTTGTTTTATTTATATTGTATGTGTAAATTAGTAAGGAGTAAAAATTAATTGAATGAAATAATCCGGCCAACGAATTATTACGATATTTTGCCTAACAAATTTGTTTGATATTTTTAAAAAATAAAAAAATTATCAAACTAATCATGATTATTAGTAATAATAACTAAATAATTAGTATCAAATCTAAATCATTAAATATTTATAATAAATAATTATAAGTAATCATGACTAAATCATATTATTATTAAATCATTAAATATCAAATCATTAGATTAATAATAATTATTAAATCATTATTAATAATATTAGTAATTAATCAATTAATCAAGTTAAATAACAAATTTTATTTGATCATTAATATAATAGTATATTATATTATATTTAATGATTTAATGTTTTATGAAATTATCTTATCTAATATTTTAATCTAAATTAATTTATTTTTTTATTTGTAGAGAAAATGAGCAACAACTTTTTCACGATTGTCCATTATAATGGACAGATTATGGAAAATGAGGTCGGAGTAGCTTTTCAGTCTGAAAAACCAATAAATATGATGTTCAAAAAGACATCACATTTATAGAAATGAAGCATAAGATAGAAAGAAAAATTCGAGCTGCAGTTGATGGTTTGAGGTATAGGTTTATGATATGCCCCAACCCAGTCAGATATGTTGCAGTTCCACTTGAAGAAGATGATGATATTGGAACCATGGTTGGATTACATGAGTCAACCAATATAGCAGTTATTGAGTTATTTGTTGATGTGTGTAACATATGTGATGTTCCTGGGTCATCAAGAGGTGTGGCTCAAAATCCATCTGAAATGGCTTTATATAGTCAGTTTGAGGAGCCGACGTA